AAAGGTCTCCTTTACTGAATTAGTTGCTTTCCTTCCCCTTAAAAGCAGCAAGGTTAACACGTTTTGTAAAAAAAAAAAATTTCATCTAACGGATTTGGGTGTCATTCTTAAATTTTAATGCATTTAAAAATAGCTAAGCAGCATGCTTGTGGGCATTCAGAGTCCTACTACCCTGAGTACACTCTCTACTGCACCAGGTGGCAATATGTAGGCCCAGCTCCAAGTACAGTGTAGGCAGCAAACAGGATAACCTTGAAGACCTTGGCAGTTGTGGAAGGAAGATGGATGAATTCACCAATTCCCAGGTGGGCCTTTAGCTAGCAGCAGCCGCATAGTGATAGTAGACAGCAACAACCAATGTATCCAGTTTTACCCAATGAGGGCCAGTATAAGTTTCACTTCGGGGCCCGAGGGCACTCGCCTGGGCAGCTTCGGCGCTCACAGATGTGGCAGGGGACACCAGTGGAGACATCATTGTGGCAGACAATACCTTTGGCTCAGCATCCTTTCTCCTGAGGGCAAGTTCAAGACCAAGATTAGAACGGAAAGCCTCCTGGGCCCCCAAGGAGTGAACCTAGATCTGGATGGACATATTGTGGTTGACAAGTCAACATGTCTTCACCTTCCAGCCCAATGACAGGCTGGCTGGCCATCTTGGGGATTTGGAGCCACTGATGGCTGGGCCTCATTTTGTGGTTGTGAATGACGAGAATGAGATTGTAGTGACTGGTTTTCATAATCACTCATTGGAGATGTAGTGTCAGTAGTTCCTCTTCAAGTCTGGTTTCCATGGCGAGGGCAGTGGGCAGTTGTGGCCTCCAATGGGAACATCCTGTAGCTGACCTGGGTAACAGCCACATCTAGGTATCCAGGAGCTCTGCCTCCTTCCTGTCCTATATCAACACATCTGCAGAGCCATAGGGCCTGGCACTGACCTCAGACCGCCATATGATGGTCGCCAATGCCGGGAACTTCTTTAAGACCTATGCTATCTCTACTAGCTGCACAGGGGCCCTGCCTCGCTCATATGTGACAGACCTAGGGTGACTGGACCAGAGGGTGTGGCCAGGAGGTAAGCCAGACCTGGCATCACTAAATGGGGGCTGTGGACATTGGTGCACCAATGCCTTCCTCTTCAGCATCTCCCAAACCCAGGGTTGCAACTTACTTTATTCTTGCTTTGGTGACTGGGTGTTCCTGGACTGTGGTCCCAAGGATGTGTACAGAGCTCCCCATTACACACCTCCTGTCCCCTCAGTCTGCTCCCCACATCCAAGCCTGGAGACAGGACAGCCTCTTACTCCAGGGCAAAAGCCTCTCTGATTGTCTCCCTACCACTCCATATACATCTACAGACTGGAATACCCCACCTCCCAGGTTAAGTAAATGTGCTCACACAAAAAAAGAACCAAATGCAGGATAATACGTATTTTAAGAGTGCATTTCACATTTAGAATTACTTCATCAAAAGGTGTCAGGTGCCTCCACTAGGAATTTCCTGATGGCTTTCTATTACAGGTGTATTTGTAAAGAAAACTATACAGATAATTGCCTAAGTTTATTCTTAGGCAACCTCCATGTTCCAAAGATCTATAATCAAACCACAGACAAGAGGGGAGGGGGGAATCCAGAGCCTAGTGGAAGAACTACTTCTTGGCTTATTATTGCCAGAGTGAGAACACTTTGAGTTACTCCTAAACTATAATTGACGCTAGCATCTCAGAATCCCACCCACTGCCAGGGTCAAAGATTGCTGTAATACAGGAAGGGTAGTCTGCCAACTCCCTTCCTTCATCTAAAATAAACCCTGAATAGACATCTGGCAAGTGGGGTTGTGATATTGGAAAGAAGAATGGTTTTTGGCTAGCAGCTCTAAACATTTAGCTAAGGGCTGATAAGGACCTATGGATCTTTTCCAATCACCATTTTTTTTTCCTACTTTAAATGGAAGGTAATTCATTTTATTCTAGGATGAAAGGGATTTGCTTCTGCTGGGATTTGGACTTAAACTTCTTCAGAAGTCTAGGTATTTCATACTAGATCACTGAGAGTACAAACATCTTTAAGATAGATGAGCATTTGTTTTCCCACAAATCAAAAGCCCTGTATCCACATTTGGTGCCTTTATTATTTCTTTTTAAAATATATTTTATTGATTTTAGAGAAGGAAGGGAGGATAGAGATCGAAACATCCAGCAGCTGCCTCCTGCATGCACCCTACTAGGGATTGAGCCCACAACTAGGGCATGTGCCCTGACCGGAATCCAACCATGACCTCCAGGTTCATGGGCCACCGCTCAACCACTGAGGCACACTGGCTGGGCTCTTTATTATTTCTTGAAATGGATTTTGCTCAAATCAGATCTAACATCACTGAATAGTAAAGAGCACGCAGAAGCAACACAATGGGTGTTCACCTTCCATGAAAAAGGTCCTAAATGGCTTAGCTGGTTAAGAGTATTATAAGGCCATGGCTACGATCAGTCTTAAACTTCTTAATGACCTGTTTACTTTGCGTAGCTCTGTTCCCCAATCACCTCTCAAACCCATTTCTAAGTAAAGGAGGACCAGGTAACAAGGCACAGGCAGAGCCAACACCAGTGACAGGAAAACACAACAGAAACTGCTGCCAGTGGGAAAGGAGCCCATGCTCGCAAACACAGCTCACAGGCCCTTCACTTGGTCTTTTCATTCATTCTGGGTGGCAGGTGCTGAAATCACAGCAAGAAACCAGATACAGCTTCACCCAGAAGGAACTTGGTGTGTAAGTCCAGTATTAGGTGGACTTAGCCTCGGAAGGCTCTCTACAGGGGGCACAAGCCAAAGTACAGAGTGAATGTCATTTTGAACAGCAGACTGTAGTCTACTATAGTGGCTAATAGTGCAATTTACCAGTGAAAGACCAATGTGAACCACTTAATCTATTACTCCAGTTTGAAAGGTGGAAGGACTGCCCTGGCCAGTGTGGGTCTGCTGGTTGGGCATCATCCCATGCATCAAAAGGTTGCTGGTCAGGGTATATGCCAGGGTCTTGGGTTTGATCCCTGGTAGGGGACATGCAGGAGGCAGCTAATCTATGTTCTGCTCTCACGTCGATGTTTCTCTCTTACTCCCTTCCTCTCTCAGTGAAAAATCAATAAAAATATTTTTTAAAAAGTGAAAGGACTCAGCAACAGTAAGCATTGGGGAACCTCTACCATAGCATTAAGATCGCATCAATTCTCTTATCTTACTGCTCATTTTTAGTGTCAAACAAATTCCTGTCCTGTGACTAAAGATAAATAAGAAAAGGTTTATAACTTAAGTGTTATGACGGGACTTATCCCTGTAAGATATAAAGGAAATGTGCTTTACATGAACCAAATTACTACTCAAGTTTTAAATCGTGGATTTATAACAAGAGAAAAGTGAAATGGAAAGCTCTTTAGGAAACACCACAGTTCTATCATGTAACATCAGTGATGTCACAGGCCCATAAAAGATAAATTATTTAAAATGAGCATGGCCCTAGCTGGCTTGGCTCAGTGGATAGAGCGTCAGCCTGCAGACTAAAGGGTTCCAGGTTTGATTCCAGCCAAGGGTACATGCCTGGGTTGCGGGCTCCATCCCCAGTAGGGGGCCTGCAGGAGGCAGCCGATCAATGATTCTCTCTCATCATTGATGTTTCTATCTCTCTTTCCTTCTCCCTTCCTCTCTGAAATCAATAAATATATTTTAAAAGATAAGAAGATAAAATAAAATGAGCATGTTATATTTAAGATTCCTTCTAAAATCCCTTCTCCAAAGGTAAGGTGGACCAATAAAACAAAGCTTTGAAGTCAAGTGAGACACCATCGCCACCTTGTGTTTAACAGCCTTCATTGCACCCACATTATTGCAAAAAAAAAATCACACGTAGGGATTCAACAATTATAGAATATAGCTTTATTTATAGAATCTTACAAACAAAACATTTAAAATCCATAACTTATTTTCTTTTCTAATTTATTGTCATGACTCCTGAGTTATTTTAAAAAATACTGTGATGGAACTGCAGAACTATAAAAGGAAATAAAAACAATAAAAACCTAATCTCTCTTGGAAAAATCAGACTTTTCGTTTTTAAGCAGATTTCCAGCATACTACCATGTGTTTGGAAGAAGACTTACTAAGAACAGGTCATATGATACCCAAACAGAGAAGCCTTTTTTAAAATCCAGGGTGAAGGACCAATGAAGGAAAGCCCCAAGTTGACACTAGACACAAAAGGCCTTTGGAGGCAAAGAAGGGAGGCAGCCTGCCTGGCAGGGCGAGGGTGAGAAGCGGCAGGACCCCTGGTCCCAGTTCACTGCTCCTGCAGGACACAGACCTTCCTTGCTATTGTTAATAGGAACTGGTCCATCCGGGTATAGAAGTAGATGATGTGAATGCCAGGGGGGCAAAAGTCCTCAAAATTCACTACCCCTCAGACTTCTAATATATACAAACGCTTTCAAAACAGCAAATTCAACAAAAGTTCAAAAGAAGTCGCCACATTTTCAACACATGAGGCAGGTCTGTTGCCAATAGCAACATACAATCAGTTGAACGATTTGAGTGTTTTCTCCCTTTCTAAGCTCCAACCAGGACTGGCCTCTGGACTAGTTACAGTTTAAAGAGAATTTCCCTTTAGCTGTCTATGAAAGGAAGGTTCTTTTTTTAAAAATATATTTTATTGATTGAGGCAGCTGTCTATGAAAGGAAGGTTCTTTTTTTTTTTAATATTTTATTGATTTTTTACAGAGAGGAAGGGAGAGAGATAGTCAGAAACATCGACCAGCTGCCTCCTGCACATCTCCTACTGGAGATGTGCCCGCAACCGGAATCGAACCAGGTACATGCCCCTGACCGGAATCGAACCTGGGACTTTTCAGTCCGCAGGCCGACGCTCTATCCACTGAGCCAAACCGGTTTCGGCTGAAAGGAAGGTTCTTAATACACATGTGCACAGAAAGGGTAAGCACCTTACTACTTCAATTGTTAAAAAAAAATTTGTTAAACACTCTATTTTTGAGCTCTTCTAAAACTAGGAACCCATTAACCCTAACTAATTTACTCCAAGAAGAATGGTATTCGTAAGGAATGATCTATAGGGAATGCTAAAACTGTAAATTTAATACATCAATGTGAATTAAGGAAAGCAAAATCTTTTAAAGTCTTAAAGTTTGAGTGCTATTTTCTGCTAGCTCCTGAAAGCAATCTGAGAAAAAAAAAACAACAACAGAAAAGACAAAGAATCAGTAACAATAACAATGTTCACATAAAGTTAGATTCCAACATTCAAGGAATTGGTTCTTTGGTAAAACTGGACCATAATCCTATCAGGAGACAGACCTGATATCTAACCTAGAATCTTGGTAACTGTTTTCCTTCTTCTTTAGCCCATTCTCAAGTCAACAGGCCGGAGAAGGAGGAAAAACTTCTAAAGTATCACCAGCAGTTTTCCTGCTCATGTTCTTTTCAAGAATATTCCTGGTTTGAGGGATGTTTTCAAAGAAGGAAAAAACAAAACAAAACGAGATAGAGGCTGCTTTTAATTCCTGTTCCGTGGGAAGTTTTTCTGGGTAGTAGAGAAAAACTCACAGGTGCTGGCAACAAACCAGCAGTTGTCAGTCATGCACACGAATCCGTCTGCGAACACAACCCCTGGGCTGCAACTGTGGGCACCACTAAGAAAGGCTTCTGGAGAGGCTGGCTCCCCAAAGTGGCTAAAGAATCTCACATTATCAATATGATAATAATAAATCAATTCACCTAGTGAACCTGGATTAGCTCCCCTTGCAGCCAGCGTTCTGAGAAGAGGGCTCCACAGTGCCAAGGCTCACAGACAAGTCTGTCAATCCATTTCTGAAGAGAGCTAGAGCAACTGATATCGATATAGGATTCGCCCTTTCTTGTTTGGGGTGAGGACAGTGCCCGTTAAAATCGTTCACAGCAGACTCAGCGGGCCCTCTGTTCTGCACACACCTGCAGAGCCCAACCCAAGTTCTGGACCTTGCATCTCACAGTTGTTTGATTCATACTCTTATTCGTAAAATTAGCAAATCCTAAACGGTGTCTGCACGGATTCCTCTTCTGGTACCCTGATCGAAGCTGCACCCTCATTCCATAGACATGTGGCCCAGGGGAGGGAAATCGGAGCAGCCGCCCCTCTAACACCAGCATCGAATGTGCTCAGAATGTGCTTCTAGGCAGGCAGCTACGATGGGAGTGGGGAAGAGGAGGTGGAAATCACAGCAAAACCTGTGGATCTGTTGCAGGCCTTCCTTCTCCGCCCTCTGTTATTAGTGTTACTCTGAAAGAAGGGGAGGTCCAGGTACTTGAACCCACATGTTAGCTCTGCTGGACGGCCAGGAAACACCAGGTGCAGCCACAAAACCAGCATTCCAGCGGGCACAAGCAACGGTCCGACAGGACGCACACCACGGGCTCTCCTTCCCTCTCACTCAGGATGACCTCGCCTCCTCCCGCCCTACGCCTGTCCCAACGTTCTGTTCTCTCTGAGAGAAGAGGCAACTGAACGGATTGAAAATCAGGAACTCCTGTCTCCTGTACCTTTTCTGTAAAAAAATAGGACTATATTCACTAAAAAATGGGTCATCTTGAGGTCCAGGATACACAGATTCATAGGCCCTAAACCATAGATTCACTTCCTGATATTTCTAACCAGGTTATAACTGCTGCCTATATTTTTGCATTGGGGCAAAGGACCCCAAATCTCTCAGCACTGGTTCAGAGAGAAAGGGGCCAGGGTAACCAGAGGAAAAAATGAGGCTTGTCTGCTAAGCTGCATTCAGGTTCCAGAGTCACTCTGAGGAGGGAGAAGAAAGGAGAGAGGTGCTACCGGGAGACTGTTACCAGGCAGCGTATTACTAGCACAAAGCATTTTAAAAACAATTGACATTTCCGTGGAGAAATACCGTCCGTGTCACAGTTTCTAAAAGAACTGCCTCTCCTGAGGCGCCTCATGGATGCCGTGTCCGAGGGCTAAGGGGCCAACCGTCAGTTCCTCAGGTTCCTGCAGGGCCCTAGCCGATCTGGATCTGTCCTGAATACATGGTGAGGAGCAGCATGATGGAAAAGCCAGTCAAGAGACCCAAGTTCTGGATGACAAAGGGGACCAATATGCTGCCCTTCCTCTCATCCTCCAGGGCGACTTCATTCATCTCAGGGAACTGAGAAAGGAGAAAAAAACAAGAGAGGAGAGCTGCAGTTCCGTTCCTAACTTTGTACATCCAAGAGAATTCATTGCAATGTCAATATTATATCTAATAACTGTTATCATACTTACTCTATTAATATTGTTAATACAGTAACAATTAGTATGTAACATGACTATTATAGTAGCTATTATTAGTATGGGGTGAAAATTATATAATATATAATCTACACTAATAAAAGACAACGATGCTAATTGAGCATACCTTCGCTACACCCACCAGCCAATCAGAAGAGTATGCAAATTAACCCAACAAAGATGGCCATTAAATTTGCATACTGCAGGCGGGGCAGGACGGGGAGGTCGACCACTCACTATGACATGTGCTGACCACCAGGGGGCAGCACGGAACATGACGGGCGTTAGTGATGTGGTGCTGGCAGCGGGTGGCAGTGGAGGCACTGCAGGCCCTGATGGGCCCCAACAGGAGCCAGACCACAGTGGGATGGTGGAGCAGGTGAGCAGGCAGCACCAGGCCAAGGTGGGTGTGAGCGGGGGCCTGGCCCAGATCAATCGCCCTGCAGACAGTGACTAGCGGCGGCAGCGGGGGACGGGCTGCTGCCTGGCTCCCAGGTGCTGAGGGAGCCAGGCAGGGACCTGATGACTCAGGCGGAGGGGGGGCACACAGGGCCCTAGGGGCCCAGGTGCTGCCCAGGGCCCAGAGGTCAGCTGGGATCTGCCCTTTCACACCAGACGCTCACACTTTGATCGCCAGCCAGACCTAGGGACTGCACCGGTGCACAAATTTCATGCACCGGGCCTCTAGTTAAGATATAAAATACACACACACACAATTGGTTTACAAAGAAAATTAACAGCAATAGCCTCTAGAACTTAAATGTAATAGCCTTTCCCCAAGGGTATTATACTGTAGCAGACCCTTGAAAATGGGGTAACAGGTGCTGACCCTCGTGCATTTGAAAATCCACGTGTAACGTGACTCCCACAAAAGTTAGCTCTCCCTCAGTATCACAGGGGATTGGTTCCAGGACCCCACCACACCACAGGTACCAAGATCTGTGGATACTCAAGGCCACTATATAAAATGGCTTAGAACAAAGTATATAGTAGGCCCTCCACATCCACAGATTCCCAACTGCAGACTGAAAGTAGTACAGGTTTTTACTGGAAAAAAAAAAATTAAAAATCCATGTATGAATGGACCTGCACAGTTCAAATCCTTGTTTTTCAAGGGTCAACCATACTTTACAACTACTGAGGTAAAACAGAGTACAACACAGGCATGTCATCCTGGATGTGCTTAGGTGCTGGCTAAAAATAACTGCTTTGATAAAAATAAACTTTTTATTGTGATCCTTAAAAACAGTTGCAAAGATATCTTTTGCTTTCAAAATGTTACTGTCACTTCTTAGGGAAACTGAGCGACTATGCAAGGGGCCAGAGATCGAAGCTATGACTCAAGGCCTCTCGCTGCTGGACAGCAAGGCAGGCAACAAGGACAACTTCCAATTCAAGTGATGCAAAAAAACCCTCACCATGGGGAGGGCTCCCCATAAGAAAGGAGAATCTAAAAATGTTTCCATGGTGAGGCTGGATCTTGGTGGTCTACTCTCATCATCTCTCAAAAATATTATCTTCAGCCCTGGCCAGTGTTACTCAATGGTTAGAGCACTGGCCCTCACATCGAAGGGTCATGGGTTCAATTCCTAGTCAAGGGCATATACCTGGCATATGTTATTTGTTTTAACATAAAACATCTGTCAAGGCATGTGCAGGAGGCAACCAATTGATGTCTCTCTCTCTCTCTTCCCCTCTCTCCCTCCTTCCATTCTGTCTTAAATCCATGGAGAAATATCCTAGGGTGAGGATTAACAACAACAACAAAAATTTATTTTCAAAGGCGACAGAAAACAATTCAGGCAAATATGTCAAAGAAAATGACACGCCCACAAACAAGGTTAGTTATACAAAACATGTGACAAATCACGTATTTCACTAGCAAACTCAAAACTACTTAAATTGTCACACCAGATGTTAGCGGGAACGGTACAATGTATACATCCAGACACTGCTGGTAATGCTTTCCACTGACCTATCTGTATCTATCCTATCATACTCCCATTTTCAAGGAAGGACCCTGGAGCCGAGTTTAGTAATCATTTTCTTTTCTTTAAAATTAAATATATTTTTACTGATTTTTTTTTTAGAGAGGAAGGGAGCGTGATAGTTGGAAACATCGATGAGAGAGAAACACCGATCAGCTGCCTCCTGCAAGCCCCCCACTGGGGATCGAGCCTGCAACCAAGGTACATGCCCTTGACCGGAATCGAATCCAAGACCCTTCAGTCTGCAGGCCGATGCTCTATCTACTGAGCCAAACCAATTAAGGCAATAATCATTTTCTTTAAGGACATCTGCTAATGGAAACAAGCTTTTCGTTCTTTGAAATCTAATGTCCCTTTAAAAAGCACTGAATTGTATACCTGAAGTAGGTGAACTGTGTGTGGGGAGAATAATTCTTCCTTATATAAAGCTGTCATAAAAAACTCCTAGCTAATGTCTCCTTGGGTGTCCTCCCATCCAATGACTTCAATAACCCAATCCAGCTTTTGTGATTTTCTCATGGTATAAACTATGCAGGACTTACCATATCAGCCAGAGAAATATACAAGAACATTCCTCCAGCCAGCGCGAAGATCCAGGTGGCAGAGAAGTGGCTGCCGGCCAGGATGCCAAAGCCCATACCCACGTAACAGCAGCAGGCAGAAAGGAAGTTGAAGAAGAGTGCTTGCTGGAGGCTCATGCCAGCATTGAGCAGGATGACAAAGTCTCCTGGGGGGGAGGAAGAGGGGAGAGTGCGGCAGTCACTCTAGGAGGTGGGACCGAGAGCGCGATGAAGACAGACTGCTTAAAGTATGGATCAAGTCTGTGCCGAAATCAAGACAGCCCCAGACATGAGATTATGGTGACAAGACGGAGGCACCTTCACCTTCGTGTCCTGGAATTATCTCTGTTTGCAAAGCTGGCCATGTACGCCCCGGACAAGAGGCTGAAAATAACGCAAAATAGACAACCAACTAGCAACAGCCTCATTCCTCTCCTGACTGATAGAGAAACAGAGGAGCTTCCCTATTCAGAACCACAATGAATGGTATTTTTAGGAAACAAAATTGAGACTGAGGGAAGTTAGGTAATTTTCCCACAGTCACAAGCCAATAAATGGCAAAACCAGGGCTTGACCTTGAGTCTCTGAGCCTCCAAAGTCCAGACTTTATACACCCCCTCTGATAAAACAAAGGGCCTCCACAAAACTCCCAGCTCATCTACCTTCTTCCAACCACCAGACTTCTAACGGGCATCCCAGTCTTTGGGAAATTAATAGGATATAACAAATAACACTTGCTAAGCACTTAGAATAGCGTACAGCATATAGAAAGTCCCTTTCACAACTTTCCCTGTTGCCTTCATGATAAATCTATGAGGCAGGCACTGTCACCTACCCCAATGTATAGGTGAGGAAACTGAGCCACAGCAACTATTAATTCAACTGTTAAGAATCAGTGGTTAGATTTCACCTCGCATTGAATGTATTCATCAATTATAACAAGTGGTCTGAAGTTGGGGAGGAGTCGGCCATAAGAAGGGGGCTCGTGCCCATCACGAGGCGGCCACGTGGAACGGGGTTGGGAGCATAGGCACTCACCTAGCTCGTGTGGGAACTCCTCACAGAGAATGGCCACGGAGGTGCTGATGCCTTGGAAAACGGACACAGTGAAGGAGGCTCCAATGGCCAGGCCGTCGATGAAATTGTGGAGGCCATCGCTCAGGGTGATCATCCAGGCCAGAGTGCCAATATCCGAGTAGCGAATGCCTTTCAGCCAGTAACAGGCACTCTGGGAAGCTTGCAGGTCCTGCAAGAAAGCCAGGCCCCGTGGCCCCCAGGTCAGGGACGGATGGGGGACCGTCGAGGTAGGCCTGAGACACCAAAGCCATTAACCCTGAAAGGCCCCCACCCAGCGGCAGATGACCCACTGACCTGGACAGACAGCGAGCCCACAATGACCTTCTCGTCCATCACGGGCAACTTGCCGTCCAGCTCGCTGCTGCAGTGCTGAGGAATCATGTGGTCCAGGTCCCCATTCTGCAGCTTTTCCGTCACCCCCTCCTCCTGGTCCTTCTTAGAAGGAAGCGTCTCGGAGGCATAATGGCTATGTCCATGATGATGCTGGAGGGACCACAAGGAGTGGTGAGGACGACACTCACCAAGACCATAAAGCTTCCTGGGACCTGCTCTGAGTCAAAGCTCCGAGCACTGGGAAGACCCATTCCCACCATCAGAAAAATCACAAGCAGGCAACACCCACAGAAACCCAGCCTGTTAGAGCGCGGAACCAAGGTGAATGCAAGGGCCTGGCACAGGGCAGACACCAAACAGTGACCGCAGGGCCCACACTCATTCCAGAGGCAGCACTGCCCAAAATATTGAGAGCTTCTCCTTTGCAACGGCTAATTTTATTCAATTCAGCAGCTATCTGGGGAATAACTACAGAGCAGGCACTAACGGTATCTTTCTGGATCTATATTATAATAATCAGCCTTATTTCTTTGCGGTCATACTTCATACACAGTGCGTGTCCATTTCCAGCCCCTCCTTCGTCTCCTAAAGGTATAAAAGCGTGTGAAGGAAATCATTTAGAATAAAGCAGAGAGAATGAACTGCAGCCTAGTCAGAGGCACACAGGCCAGGTCTGGTTTCTGGTCTGCCCGTGCCACCTGCTATTATCCTCATGAGGCGAAATGGGGTGTCCACTCATGAAACTTGTGGGCTCTGCTCCCCCTCCCCACCCCAGGCCACTGCAGGGGTGCCGAGGACCCACCACCGTGACACACCGCATTCCGGAGACAGATGCTTGCCCCGGGAGCACCTCTTTTACCAACAACTGGGTCTCACCTCATTTTTCTGCTTAAGGAGCATTTTCAAGATCTTCTCTGTGAAAAAGAAAAGATAGAAACCCCCAAACACCACTGCAGACTTGGAGACGTAATCATCCTTCAGAGGGTCGAAACCAAAGGCCTGTGGACCCAAACAAAGAAAATAAGTTTGAGAAAATAAGCACTCTCCACTGGTCCCCTCTCATCGCTTACCCTCTTCCCTGGTTGTGTGCAGGGGGACAAGCGCACTGGGACAGCTGGCGTCTATCCGTCCCTCTCCAGCGGAAGCTAATTCCTGATGTCTCCCGACTGTCCCGTCGCCAGGCCTCCTAGGTTCTCTCTAGCTTATTTTCTGATGCAAAAGACAGATCATCCTCGGAATAGTACTGTCAGGCAGAACAGCCTGGAGACAGTTTTCTGCTTTTATTGAGGGCTCTGCCCCTAATTCTCCATTTGCTAGACTCTGCCTGCACATCCCGTACGTAAAGAGAAGACATTTGTGTTCACTTTCATCACTACCTCATGCCCTTGCATGATCTGCCCGTAAACACCAAGGGAGGTGGTGTAATTACACTTTCTAAAATGGGAAATCCATTCCCCAGTTAAATAGCAAGAATTGCGGCAGCTTCCTGACCACAGATCTCCCAGTGACCGCAAGGCCAAGAAAGCAGACTGTTGCTGCACGTGTCAATTTTGGGGTTCTATTTTGAGTTCTTTCTGGAAACTCTGCTTATTTTGGGGGGTGGAATCCATTAGGGAGTGGACAGGAGTAGAAATCAAGAGAATTCCTTTCTCGAGGATGCCCCTGGCCTGCAGTGGGGCCTTGGGAAGGAGTCCAGTGACCTACTCCTCAGTTTTCTGACCGGTAACTGTCCCTTCAAGGGAATAAATTCCCTCCTTCTCATGAATGGGCCCATGATAAAAGTGATCCTAAGTACCAGGAGCTCTGGGCTGCCTAAACGGTAGCTGTTTTCCTTTCTGCTTTTAAGGGACAAAATGCAATCTCTGCCCAGTTATTAGTTTTCTAAGTGACATAAAGGTCAAGTTCTAGAGTGGAAAGAACACATTTGGATCGACTTTCCAGGACAGTCGTCACATCATCTTAAGGGAAGTGGAGTAAAAAGAGGCAATAATGTTCCCCACAGAAGCCAGGACGCTGGCAGAGGACTGAGCACGGCCCCGGGGACCACGAGCCTGGCTTCTGGGACAGGGGCTCGGTCCGGGTAAGGTTCCTCGGCTGGAAGACGAGTAAGACATTACTTGTTCTCTAGATATTACAGAATTTATCTAAGGATCAACTGAGAAAGCACAGAACCACATCTCGGAAAACAGAAGGTCAGGAGAAGCATGTGGCGTCATCTCTGTGCTCCCCGGCCCTGCCCAGGCCTGTCAGGCCACCCGCAGTGAAATGCCTGCGCTGCCGTCATCAGCGGGTCTCCAGCCGATGGCTCCAACCAGATGCAGCTTCTCTGGGGCCGCGGCCAAACCCACGTCTGAGCTTCCTCCTCCTCCGTGGAGGGTTTTCTCACTAACCTGGGCCAAGGGGCACGTGACACCAGACTTTCTATCTGGATTGCTACCTTTGCCTCAAAATGCCCTACGGAGGACGGACCTTTTTATTGTGACCTATGCATTCTGTTGAATATTTGTTGTGCCAGAGCTACAAATTAGGAGCTGTCAGTGATCTAACTACACTACATCTTTTCACCAACAGTTAGCACTTCCAAGGCATCAGGCACCTGACAAATATTAAGTCATATAACCCCCGTGACATCATCATCAACTCAGGCCTGTTGTTCTCCCCATTTCACGTAAGAGGGAATAGGACAGAGGTTATGTGACGTGCCAGAAGTCACACGACTTGTCAACAGTGAAGCTGGATTGGAACCCAGCTCTTATACCTGTGCTACCTTGCCTACCCTAGCTCTGCCCAGGCTTAGCTTCACCTTCCTCAAGGAAAGCACCTCCTTCCTCTGCCTTCCATGGAACTGGAGGGTCCTCCCACGGTGCCCGCTGTCCCCAGGAGACGGTGTGCTCCTGGGTGAGGGGCCCTGGCTCGCCATACCTCAGGGATGAGCTGGAAGAGGGCGTTGGAGTAGAGGGTGCCAATCGCCAGAGCTATGAAGTAGAGCAGCAGCCTCTTGTAAAAGGTCTTCTTCATGAAGGGCACCACAACGGCCCCCAGCAGGGAGCAGAGGGAGATGATGGTCACGCAGAGGAGACCATACCCCCACACTGCCATTGGGGGAGAGCCAGGCCCACCCAGGACAGGGAGAAGGGCGAGCACCCCATGGCACGACAATACCATTTAGGGGGGGAAAGGTGGAGGGAGTGGGGCAGCAACAAGGAAGGTTTTGGTGGGTATTAACAAAGGCAACAAAAGGGAAAATCAGAGAGACAAGTAGGGAGGGAGAGAGAAATAGAAAATCTGTTAGTGATTCAAGTCTGATGCAATTTCCTTTAATTAATTAAGAAGAAATGAAGAGGAATTCAAGATGGCCTTGGAACTCTGTGGCCCCTGTCCCCGCTGCCTTTGCTGCCCAGGTCGCACCTGCCAGCTGGTGTGACTGGCACAGGGGGTTGCCACCTCGGCGTACAGCCATGATATGTGCAGGTCTACCCAGAAGCTGCCACACAGACACTGGACCCAAGGCTCTCTTTAATAGGAAACAAGAGCATCTGAAAAGAAACTGATGACCGTGCTTCCACCACCTTGCTTTGTGCACCTGACCCATACTGCACAGGCACGTGCAACAACACCCGGGCCTGGTCTGTGGGCACAAGATACAACCCAGTGCAGGGCCGAGCAGTGGAGATGAGTAAGGCCCAATGCCCGTGAATTCCAGATTCTTAACTTCTCAAGATGTGTGTTTGTTTGTTTGTTTTCCTTTGCTTTGAAAGGGCTCCAGTGTGGAGAACAGAGTTCCAAGATCACCCTGAACAGCAAATATTCCCTCTACCATCTCCCAGCGTCACACACTCCAGTGTGGACAAACCTGGGCCAGGATGCGGCACTCTCCTGTGAGCCACAGGCCTGGGGTGTGTACAATTACTCTATTTCCATTCAACAGGTAACCAGGCATTTCATGAACATAATTATTAAAAAATTAATACATTTTATTTCTGGAGCTGAAAAAAATAGCCCGAGATGAGGCCTTCCCTGTGAAGTGCTTCATGGGAATTTTGAGACAAACCTGAGACGGTTTAACTTCAACCAGATTTTTCTCCCATTGTTAAGAAGGGACAGATAAGGTCTGGGCACTGCATTTGGTACCTCTTCTGGCTGAGAGTCTTCTGACTGAGAAAGGCTGGGCGGCCCTTGACACAGGTTCTTTAAGAAAGACCATCCCCCTTGCCCTAGCGGGCATGGCTCAGTGGATAGAGCGTCAGCCTGCGGACTGAAGTGTCCCAGGTTTGATTCCGGCCAAGGGCACATGCCTGGGTTGTGGGCTCGATCCCCAGTAGGGGGCATGCAAGAGGCAACTGATCAATGATTATCTGAAGAGAATCATCATCATTGATGTTCCTATCTCTCTCTCCGTCTCCCTTCCTCTCTGAAATCAATAAGAAACATATATTTAAAAAACTTAAAAAAGAAAAGAAAGACCATCCCCAAAGGAGGTCCCCGCATAATCAACTTTCCTGCCTGAGCTGACAAAGGGGCAGACTGTCACCCTGGGTCTTATTTCTTGCAGCTCCTCAGTGGTCACAATTAAACAACAAAATTAAACATTTCCAAACAGTCAGGTGAGGGCACCAGGAAGCCAGTCCTGTCAGGAGAAAGTCAAGATGCAAGGCAGGAAGGACGGAGGGCCCCTTCTCCTTTATCTCGTAATTTTCGTTTCGTTTGTTTGGGTGGAAAGCCTTTGTTCTACGTTTGGCTCTCTGCTACAAATTGTGGCCTGCTTTTTAAAAAAAGAGGATTGCTCACCTTTTAGGCCAGTTCTACTTATTAGCTGGTAACCTCTTACTCCTGCCTCGTTCCAGATGGATAATCTCTTGGTGGCCACCCCTGAGCACTGTGAGGGCCTCTACTTAGAACAGAGCGCCAAGGGCATGGATGGAGACCACCGGCTGCAACTTTCCTTTTGAGCCCTGCAACTGGGCTTAGGAAAGGCATGGAGGCAGGAGGCCGAGACCCCCATAGGAGGGCAAACGCTAAGCGCCTTGCACCTGACATCCCCTGAGGGGACCAGAGTACACCTGGGTGCCCAGGAATGAGAGAAGGCCCTTGAGACCCAAAGTCAGACTTATTTGTGTCCCTTGATGTGAGGGAGAAGTTAATTTGTCAGGGGGCAGCTGTCAGGTGCCTGGGAGCACGGGGTGGGGGGCAGGAAGTGGTGGGGGGCAGGCTCGGCGGACTCCCAGGGGAAGAGGACGCGCACGTTCTGTTCTACTGCACCTCTGGGATGAGCTGGAAGAGCGCGTTAGAGAACAGCGTTCCAATGGACAGGGCGATGAAGTAAGTGAGCACACGGCTGAAAAACGCTTTCTCCATGCAGGGCAGGACGAGGGCTCCCAGGAGAGAGGCCAGGTTAATCAGTGAGACACTGAGGAAACCAAAGCCCCACACTGTGGAGGAACAAGAACAGATGAGGGCCTCCATTACTGAGAGTGGGTGCTCCTGCTGCCTGGGCAGCCCCCCTGAATCCAGCTGTGGTCAGGGCACACAGAAATGCACCAGCCCAGCAGTAGGTATTTGCTGAGTCCGTCTCTTGCTGGGTGCTGCGGAGAAGCCTAAACAAATACTGCACAGCTGCTGTCCAGAAGCAGCTTACCTTTCAGATGGAGGCAGGTGAAAACATGAAAGACTAAGAGTTCAAGAACGATCGCAGGAAACAATGAGGCCTGACACAGGGAGCCTGTTCTGGGTATCAGTGTGGGCAGCACACACCAGCATGACGGCACTTCAGAAGGGCTATCTGGGCCTGCGGGAGTCATGTGCACTCACGGACCCTGGTGAGTCCCCTGAGGTGGGAGCAGGGGTCCTGGGCAGGGGTGGGAGAAGGATGGGATGGGCTGACGACAGACCTTGTAAGGTCTGAAATGCTAAATGAAAAGCCCAGGTATTGGCCCCCTTGTAGTTTCATGAAAACTAAAGTGGCAAAGTGGCCATAAAAAGTAATCCATAGTTGGGCTGGTCCAAAGAACCCAACACTAAACAATGCACTGGCCACACGGGCCCATCTGACCACGTGCACTACCAGCTCTGTAGGTGCAAGGATACCAGTATCACCGTCACTCCCATTCACCCCTCCTGACGTGGATAAGCTGGTCACCAGTTACACACTGAGCAAGCAGCACTCTCGATCAGCAGAGGTCCACGTGAAGACAAGCACGGGGGCCAGGCCTTCCTGTCCCAGCTCACCTTCCACTGTGCTCGGCCTCCCCTCCTCCGTCTGCTCGTTCTCCTCGTTCTCCTGGTTCTCAGAGGAGCAGGCCTGGGAGTCCAGCTGCTGGAGGATGGTGGGGCAGAAGTCCTGGAACTCACTCGGCCCGATCTGCGACTGGCTGCTGAAGTTGTGGGCAGCAAAGAGGGCTCCAGAACTGAAGCACTGAAACACAGGTGAGGGGCAGAGAGTCTTAGAACCGGTCATACCTTGCTCCAGGCAGTGACTGACTCAGCCTTCCAAGAAAGAATTGTCCAAATATGTATCACTGATTCTGTAAAACTAATCTACAGGGGTGGGAGCAAGGGGGTCCTTCAACTAGAAAAACTGGTAAGTTATCTTAGAGATCAGCCATCGGGTTTATACATATACATACCCCACATACAACATCTGTAAGGGCCGCCCAGAGATTCTGGAAGAAACTGAATTCCAATCATTCTTACCAGGATGTGCTTTCTAGAAAACACGAGCCTATCTGTACACCTTAAGATACAGATTGAACCCGATAGCAAATCTGGTTGCACATCACAATAGCCCAGGGAACTATCCTATTAAAATGCAGATTCCAGATACTTCTCCAGAGCTATTGAGCGGCAGGTGAGGGGGGAGGGTTGGGGGGGTGGCAGTAGTCAGTGGCCATTGGCCATGAACTCTCATCCCCTTGGGAGGCAGCAGGGGAGTTGTTCTCACACACCGTTCCTATGAAACACGGCAGTTTTCCTTCTCATTATACTTCATACATGTCAGTCTTTATCTGAGTTTGGATTTGCGTGGGTCTATCTCTAGAATCAGCCTTGTGGGTGTGTGGACAAGGGAGTTTCTGGGCCTTCAAAGCTGAGAATTCCACTGACCCCAAGACACTGCTGCTGTGCCAGGAAGCCTCTGGGGTCAGGCTGCATCAGCCCCGACGGCGGCCTCCTCACCAACGCAGGCACTCACCACGCTCCTGTGGTTCTGTGTCCAGGCCACATGGGCCCCTGATCTCTCCTTCAAGGCGAAGCTCCAGGACACCTCCCCTCAGACCTGCCTGGACTGCTCTAGCGCACACTCATCTCCCGTTCTCATTCTTTAATCCTACAAGGACTGTCCAACCCACAGCATTTAATGCTTCATGGCAATATCAGTTAACTTTGTTCTCATTGGCTGAGTTCCCCATCTTGACAACAAACCCCCTAAACACGACTCATTTTGTTAGGGGCAGGAGGGAGAGAATAGTGGGGACTAACTATAGTTATAAGAAATATTCATCATGTTCTGTTAACCATGATTTGTTCTCATTTAAGAAAGCACATGCTGACCTGGCTGGAAGTTTTATGCCCCTGGACCTGGGAGTTAACCCTGCATTCATTCTCCTTGCCTATCACCATGGAAAGATTAACAACCCTGCTGCCAAGAGAAACAATGGCGTTCCGGAGGTGCCCGCCCTTTGCAACCCCCAAACCCTCTACCCCAGCTGCTTTCCCTGTGATCTGTAACCATTACACCCATTCTTATTCCTTTTGCCTACTTCCCCATGTAATCTTTGTCCTTCTACCCAATATAAGCAGCTGGCTTATGGGGGTAGGCGGTTAGAGCAGACTTTTGTGGATGACCTACTGCTCTCCCCTGGTGGCCGCTTAACTGGCTCAAGTAGTGACAGGCAGTCTGGACCCAAGCGTTGTCCCGTTTCAATCTTTCTCTATTTCTCACAACACTCAGCATAGGAAACAAAATGGATATAAAGCAATTGCTGGCTGACGTCTACCTGGCTGCCTCAAATAGCCTTAGATTCAGATTAGCCAAGATGATGTGGGAGAAAGAACAAGGAGCCAGAAGCCAAAGACCTGGCCTTAGTCCCGGTCCCTCCAGGATGTCACTATGGGACCCTCGGTGTTCTGTCCCATAGACTAAAGATTTTCCATCTGCACCTAGAGGTGCTGCGAGGCTCAACTAGGAGAGAGGATGCAGGGCTTTGTAATCTACAAACGCTGTTGGAAATGCTGGCTGTGTTGGGAGCTCCAGCAGTTCCGGGTGATCTAAGTGCAGCTGCAAGGAAGAGTCTGGAGGGCTGAGAACCCCACTTGCTGCTACCCTTTGGTAATGGCTTCAAAACACCCATGCAGGTGGGAAGGCAGCGCAGCTGGAGATTCAGACTTGCTGACGCAGGCAATGGGAAGAGCTGGCTTCTGCTGTGTCATCAAGGTTTGCCTACCCCAAGCCCCTGCTCCAGCAGCTCAGCTCCTGTGCCTGACTGGACTGTGAGCCCTGAGAGCAGAGTGCTGAGCAGAGCAGGGAGCCTTACCGTGGACAGGTTCCTCTGTCCCTGTAGGGGCTGGGTGACATTGGCCTGGCCCACTCCCACATGCAGGTGGTTGAGCAGGGTCTTTAGCTGCTGCAGAGTGAGGCTGTCACCCTCCCCGTAGCGATGCATGAGGTCCTGCAGGAAAGAGGCGGCACTGATGGCTGGCGTCCCCGTGGACACAGCATGTGTCTCAGGAGCAGCTGTCCACAAGCTGAGGAGGGGCGGCAGGAAGCAGCCAGGGTGTAGCAGCTTCATGGTGATCAGTAACCCTGCGAGAACAAAAAGGCAGATGAAGGTGAGGCTTAAAAAACCTACCTCTCAGCCCCGGCCAGGTAGCTCAGTTAGAGCATCATCCTGAGACGCCAAGATTGTGGGTTGGATCCCCATTGAAGGCGCATACAAAAGTCAACCAATGAATGCATAAACAAGTGGAACAACAAACTGATGCTTCTCTCTGTTCCTCCCTCTCCCACCCCCCTCTAGCGTCAATAAATAAATAAGTACAATTTTAAAGTCCTTATCTTTTAAAGATACAGAAATAACCATGGATTAAATAGTATCTGGGATTTGCTTCCACGTAATTAAGGAGGAGTACTGGCATGGGAGTACAGATGAGACAAGATGGGACATGAGTTGGTCATTGCTGAACCTAAGTGATGTGTAGATGGCAACTCATTATACTATTCAGTCTACTTTTGTATATGTTTGAAATTCTCCAAAATAAAAACCTAAAAAATTAATACTACCACTAAAATAAGAAAAAACAGACTGGGAAAAATACACACCATCAATGTGACAAAGGTTTACTTTATCCTCCCTAAATTAGGGACACACATGGAAAACATGCAGTCTCTCCGGTTTGTCAAGAGTACAAATGGAAACGATGGATAATGCTACTGCAACTTATTAAAATAGCAACACAGATTTTTTAAAAAAATATAAAACCAAATGTTAGTGAGGCTGAACAACTAAAGAAGATGCGGCTGGTGGCTATAAAATAATGGGACTCTTGAAAAGCTATGATAATAACTGCCGAAACCGGTTTGGCTCAGTGGATAGAGCGTCAGCCTGTGGACTGAAAGGTCCCAGGTTCGATTCCGGTCAAGGGCATGTACCTGGGTTGCGGGCACATCCCCGGTGGGAGATGTGCAGGAGGCAGCTGATCGATGTTTCTCTCTCATCGATGTTTCTAACTCTCTATCTCTCTCCCTTCCTCTCTGTAAAAAATCAATAAAATATATATTTAAAAAAAAAAAGAAAAGCTATGATAATAGAAGTATTCAAATCCTCTGAATCTGTAATTCTACTTCCAGAATTTACAGTCACAGAGCAATTCAAAAACAAAAAGGCTACAGGCAGAAAGATGTGTTAGGGTGAAATTTAACGTTAAGAAGAAAAACAATTATGTAGCAGAGTTAAGAACTGAGAAGGAACAAAGAAAAATGAAAGCTTTAAGACAGCAGGACACACGATTTTTCATTTGTTAAATCATTTCCCTTCTTACAGTTATAATTTAATTAGTGAAATAAACATCAGGAAGGGAAAAGGAGGCTCCTACTTAATCCAGACCCAGGACCCAGTCACGGCAGTAGTTTCCACGCCTCCCTAACCGTGAGGCCTGGCTGTGGGTCACTCCACCTCCAGCCTCTGCTTGCGACAGAGGAGCTACACAGCAGAGGGGTTCTGTGATGGGCAGTTAGACAGACATGAGCAGAGCAAGGACGATGGGCCAGGTACAGAAGGTCGCCTGGGTGGAAAACCCCCAGGTGCTTAGCAAGGGACAACCCATTGTAGGGGGGGGACCTGCCCCGTAGGGTGACCTTTCTTCCCCCAGCATATTTGCTGGTCATGCGGTTTGGACCCCCTGACCTTTCCTCCCTAGAGATAACATCTAGACCTCAGTCATATTTTATTTAGCTCCAGGCCCAGATAAGCAACAGAACCTGCCACAGCTGTCCTCAGGACCAGCTACATTGGATAATGACCCCCTGCCCTGGTGCCGGCCAATCAGTGGAGACCACAACCCTGAAAGGACACCCCTGGAAAACTGCTGAATATGCTATTGAGATCTTCCCCTGGGACCTCCCCTAAAGTCTCCACCCTTAAAACCCTTAGGACAGAGGACCCAGTGCCTCTCCCTTTCCCTGTCCCTTCCCTGCCCTGCCTCACTCCCAAGCTCCAAGGGCCCTTCCTTTACCTGTCACTTGTTTCCTAAGCCCTTTTCTTCTAGGAATTACTTTTTCTACCTCTGTGATTTTATAAATAAATATTCTCTTACAGTTTGGGTCTTGGCTCTGAATTTTTTCCTAGCCAGAACCCAACTACCAAGGTTGCAGAACCGAAGTTAGGTTTGACCCCACTGGTCAGACACCTAGTGCCGTGCCGGCTGCCTACAACAGCTCAGAGCAGGCCTGTTTGCATCCCGGATCTGCCCCTTACCGGCTGTGTGATCTCCGGTGAGGTATTAACCAGCGTCAACATTCTAGAAACACCCAGACCAGCGATGGCCTTTGGTGTCAGAAAGACCTAGCTTGAATTCCCGCAATACTGCTTACCCAGAGTGACCTTGGCCAAGTTACTTTGGCTTCTCTCCACACTTTGGTTCTCTCGTCTATAAACTTGGTAGTGCTCATTGGGTTACTGTGAAGATTTACTGCCACGAGCTACGATAAGTCTACTGAGTGCACGGGCTTTGGAAAGCACTCAGTGAAGTATGGCTATTACTTTAAGACTTATAATTAGCAGAGTTCCTCTACTTTGACTCCTTCTCAGCCCAGATACTGAGCTGCTAACAGAACTATCCCTCTGGCTGACTTTATTTATTCCAGGCCAGTGGCGCGCACATCTCACAAGTCCCTGACCGCAAGCACATCTGGGACATTCCAGGCGGTATGGGGCATACACAGAACCTGAGGCACAAAGCATCACTCTTTATGGAATATACTTCGAGTCACGCAAACGAATGGATTGGGTATCACAAAAACGATGCTTCGTAGAAGTGTTACTTTGAGACTAACAACTCTCAAATCTCCACCAAGAAACAAAAGTTAAATTATGGTGTGCAGGGTGGATCTTAGCCCAAAATGGCTAAACCCCATTGTACGAAGAAAGCTGTTCTCCGCCTGACCACACCCGTCTGTCTAAGGGTCGACTTGGACTGTCAAAATGAAGAGCTGCGTGGACTTAGGAGAGGCAGACAGGCAGAGAGGCAGCTAGCGCTACCCGTGTGCACCTTGCTTTGCACTGATACTCATGATTCCTGTAAGAGAATCGCGACACTTATACTAAATGAGGAGACGGGTTCAGAGATTAGGAAATGTGATCCATTGCCAGCAAATAGAGCAGTGAAGCCAGAAACTAAATTTTTCATGGAAGGAAGCCAGGTCTGAAGGACACTAAAGCCAGGGCACTTAACCACTATCCCTGCTGGATAGAGACACAAAAATACACACCCTGGCTCCCATGAAGACCCACAAAATCCTGCATCCTCTGGGCAGACGGGCCCCAGCTCCTATCAGCCCAGGAAGCTCCGGTGTAGAGGAACCCCCAGATACGCCTCAGCAGCTGGCCTGTATTTTAGGGCTCCTTCTATAGAACCACTTCAACAAAAACAACCGTTCTACTTCAGCTATAATTCTCAAATTTATCTGTAGCAACTTCAAAACATCAGAAAAAAACAAATATAAAAATCTCTTCAAGCATGAATTTTAGCTCATCTTGGTATTCATGTCAAGGCCAGCATTTATTAAGCATTGGCTCTTCACTGACCCAGGGGCCATGGCAGCCTGGAGCGGGTGGGTAGATTCAGCAAGTGGAGCCTGCCTGCCTGGCCAGCACTCTGACGTAGCCCACCCCCCAGAGCCTAATAACAACGGGAGGGTAGTAAGAAGTCTGGTCCAGGCACCTGGGAGTTGCTCAAGACACTTCAAATCCAAGTGACCCCGGACTTCTGGCAGACATGAGAAGGAAAGCTTTCCGCTCCAATGCAGATTTTTCTTCCCTTTACCTACAAGTTATTCTTAGAAAAAAGGTTTCTAAAAAGAAAGAAGAGTGGCCAAATACACACACAGCTCTTGGTATAGCTGGATGGTGCAGTTGGGCAAGTCCTTGCCGTGTAGCCCCAGCTGCAGGAGGAAGCCGGGTCTACGAAGGCCATGGAAATGGGCAGGCCGGTGGGCCGCTGCAGTCCTCCCAAGGAGCTGAGCCCACTGCCCTCAAGGACACCTTCCAGGAGTGGTAAGAAGAGCATGTGGGACAGGGCATCAAAGGAAGTTGGAGAGCCCTAACCAGTGTTGCTCAGTGGATAGAGCGTCAGCTTGCGGACTGAAGGGTCCCAGGTTCGATTCTGGTCAAGGGCATGGAACGTGGTTGCGGGCACATCCCCAGTAGGAGGATGCAGCTGATCGATGTTTCTCTCTCAGCGATGTTTCTGACTATCCCTCTCCCTTCCTCTCTGTAAAAAAATCAATTTTTTTTTTTAAAGGAAGTTGGAGAGACAAAGGCTTGAGGGTGCCGTTGGCTCAGAAGACCAGGCTCTCCCACTAAAGAGAAGCTGCAGTCTCCCCGTCCCTTTGTTCACTCGGCTTGGGTTCAAAGAAGTCAATTATTTTAGTGCCTTAGCTCAATCTCCAAGGCGCTAGACCCAATCCTTGGGGGGTCTGGGGGGGGAATGAAAGACCTATGAGGAAGCCCGACCCTCTGTGGAACTTCAGAGGTGCCCTTACCATCTTGGAGGCTCTAAATCAGAACTGCACCTGCCCCTCACCTTCACTTGGTCTAGAAATGCCTCATCTTAGAAGCCGCACTCTGTCCTGTGGACGTACCTGACTGCTGGATTCACCATGCTGCATTCTTTCTATGTCCGCTCCCCTTTCAGAGGGGAACAAACATTTACTTCTCTTTGGGGTGACAAAGTAGTGACATGCCATGATACTTGGTCCAGGGGGTGGACATTGATGTGAGTAGAACGGGCAGCAGAGACCTGTGAGGCCTGGGAACTGCTAGGCCTCAAAACATCCACTCCCTTCCCTGACCACCAGCTGACTAGCTAGTCCACTATTCTCAGATTCCTCTGGGGCCAGGAATGACATGTGGAAGGTAAGATCAAATGCTCCAGAGACAGCCCAGCTGGTGTAGTTCAATGGTTGCGCATTGAACTATGAACCAGGAGGTCATGATTCCATTCCCTGTCAGGACACGTGCCGGGGTTGTGGGCTTGATCCCCAGTAGGGGGCATGCAAGAAGCAGCTGATCAATGATTCTCTCTCAT